GCTCATCCGCAAACACCAGCAACCACGATGAGCGCCGTGAGACGCAATAGTCGTCGTACGTGCCGTTGAATCGCAGCTGCAATCAACGCAAAACGATCGAAGTGTGTTGCGTGTTGCTGACCGATCGTGACTGGCCGGTGTTTCAGCGGCTCTTTTCGAACGCCGTTATTCTTCACTCGTGGACCGCGACCCACAGCGGGCGCAACGAGTCGATGGCCGAACGCGCCGACGATGCGCCGCCACTGACGAGCGACGAAACTCATCGTATTCTGGCGCACGGCTACATCGAAAAGAGAACTCTACTGACCGGTAAAATACTGCACGATTTTGCACGGTTGCCCAAACTCGTGTTTGCTAGTTGCAATAGCACGCTCTACATCGGCTCCAACGGCACCAATATGACACACGCGTCTCGCTTGCGCCGAGAAGACTCGCGTTTGTTCAGACACAAGTTGGCATTTACTGCAAATTTTACGCTTTATCACGCGTATTACGAGAGCGATCGATTATTCGACACTCGGCAGTTTGGCCCGCGACATCGAATCATGCGTGCCCTGTTGTTCGTATTGGCTCTCGTGAACGTGGAAATGTTCACCGCAAACGGCGGAAACAATGTCAATTTGGCGCTCAACATGCAAAGTCTCGGAAAGGCGTACAACGACGCCGGTGTACACGTATTCTCGGAGAATAGCATTCAACATGTCAAACGAGTGCGATGTAACAACGGCGAGACTGCTCAATTTCGCACAAATGGCCACTTGGTGAATCGGTGCCTCGGTCGCGTTTCGGAACTAGGTGTGAACGCTGTATAACTTGCAAGATTGGTCTCGCCGCATCGTCGATAGCGCTCGGCGTGAGCAACAATAAGCTCGCGCTCCCTCGCGAGTATCCGCGCACCGGTGTTCGATCGAACGTCGGTGTGAGAAAAAAATTATCGGGAAAAACGCAAATTGTGAGTGTAGATCGAGATTCGCTCGGACGATTTGTACGACGAGGAAAACTCGACGGCCGATCAAGCAGCAAATCATCATCGCAACGACTGTTGAAATATTGCGCTGTTATCGCGTAGGTTACGACAAAGCAGCATCGTTGGACACGGTACCAACGGTTCGATTCGAGGACGAGATTGATACTTGACGACGACGGAAACAAATGCGCAGTGGCCGTGGCAAGGAGTTCAATAGCGACGATGCCGATTCGTCCGGCGGTGAAAAGCGAAAAAGCGCAAAATCGCGCTCGAGATCGCGACCGCGTACGCGCTCGAGATCGCGCTCGAATTCGCGAACGCGTACGCGCTCGAGATCGCGCTCGAATTCGCGGCTCCGCGCACGTCCGATATCGCACGCGAGTTCGCGACTACCGAATCGTATTGGCGCTTTTGATAAAAATCGCAAAAATCGAAAAAATGTGAGCTACATGTTCTCTGATGTGACTGCGAAAACAAACAGTACCGACAATGTGGTAGCAGTCGGTAAAAATGATGTACCTATCCCAGCACCACCAAATAGCAGAATTGTCAACCCAAAAACACCACGAAAAATTGCTGGTATATTGGAATACGCGATTGAAACGACCATTGATCGATAACAGTGAAACCTCGCGGTTGTTACAACAGCGCGCACTAGGTTTTTTTTGCGTATTTCCGTGCGGTCAATACCCATAACGATAAATAAACAAAAAAGATAATGTTGATTCAAAGTGCTGTTGTATTTATTTTGAAACTATCCTTACATCGTCACCACACAAATCCATCAATATTCGCATATGAGAATGATTCTTTCGATTGCTGTGCCACGTGACTTGTACTCCGAGACGCTGGTGTACCAATCGTACGATCGCACATTTGGACAATCATAAGCTCTCCGAACATCGAGCAAAGTTATAATATCATCGCAGCACGTTCGTTCGATGCTCGCTCGACGTTCGTTTGACGCACGATCGTGCGATCGCACGATCGCATGATTGTACAAATGTGCGGTCGTGCGATTGTACAGTAGTAACGTTCCCCTGTACGTAGTACGGAGCAGTAGCGTTCCCGGTCCTATTGTACTTCTGACTGCTCCGTACTACGTACTGTTCAATAGTACCAGCCGCGCGACGGAACGCCTCGTTATATACATTTTACCCCTTCCGTGCTGGATCTTTTGTGCAAAAAGTGGGAGCTTAATAAACGTCATTTATTGGTCAATTAAAGTTTCCACTTTTTGCACAAAAAGTCCAGCATGGAAGGGGTAAAATGTATATAACGAGGCGTTCCGTCGCGCGACCGGTACTATTGTACAGTACGTAGTACGGAGCAGTCAGAGGTACAATGGGACCAGGAACGCTACTGCTCCGTACTATGTACAGGGGAACGTTACTACTGTACAACCGCACGATCGCTCAACGTTCGACGATCGCACGATGCTCGGAGACGCTCGACATTCGACGTTCGCTCAACGCTCGATGCTCGAGCAGAGTTACATCATTGCGGCACATTGCGAAGCAGTAGCGATTGTTACGAGTTGCGAACCAAGTTTTTTAGAAGAGCGTGCGATTGTACTAATGTGCGAACGCTCGATCGCTCGATCGCATACTTCTCGACGCATGATCGTACACTTCTCAACGCTCGATCATCGCAACATGCTCGAACGTCAAGCGATCGTCGAGCGCACAAATGTGCGACCGTGCGATTGTATAGTAGTAACGTTCCCCTGTACGTAGTACGGAGCAATAGCGTTCCTGGTCGACGAAACAAGTTAGACATTCGTGAGAAGGAGCGAGTTTAACCTTTTTTCAGAAGTATTGCAACAAAAAAAGAAGCACGTACGCATAGAGATCATAAGATTGTTTTATTCTATAGATCGGCACAATTGCAACGCGTCAAAATACGTACGGTGTGATCGACGAATAAATCGGTCAGTATGTCAATGTGAACATTGCGATCCAATGCTCGATGCAGAAAAGCCGCTAATCCGTGCACTTGATAACGCAATAGCTCGTCGTAATGCGCGCTATTCGGATACAGCGTCAATAGATTGATAAAATTCTGATTAGCCATTGCTCGAATTTCGTCAATAGTAGACATGCAATTCCGTAAAATATTGCTCAATCCGCAGGATGCGCGCGCTCGATTGGTACTATCCACGGTCTTGAATACAGGTCGGGAAACTCCTACCTTTTTTTGGTGGTGGGGGTGACTCGCTTAGTGACGATATTTTTGGTTCGCCTTCTAACCGCGCACGCCGCTGCGTTGCAAGAACTTTTTGTCACGCATGCGCGTTGTAATAAATGTAAAATGAAAAAAGTATATGTATCTTGTTAGCTGAAAAATGTGAATGAGTGGTAGCATGAGATCCTTGCACTCTTATCGTTTTTAGTTCGATTCCGGTTAATGTATTTTTAATAAATATTTTACGAAAAGTAAGAAAATGTGTTATTTAATTATTACGTATTGTAATTATGTAAAAGACATATATTATGTTTATGCGAGCGTTACTTTTGTAGTATCTTACTTAAATTATTGTAACTTATGATAATTTACTCTGCATAAACGGGATTCTATTCAATAAATCCCCGTTTACGCGGAGTGAATTATCGTAAGTTACGATAATTCGAATAAATTACTACAGAAGTAACGCTCGCGTAAACATAGTAGTAATAATACTATCCCGCGATATTCGTAAAGTGAAATAAAATAATAAATCACTCCCGTTGTACATAGAAATAATGTTTATTTATCATATTGAGGTAAATGCAGAGGTAATAAATGTGAATTAATGAAAGGTGATTATTTTTTGAAATAGCAATCCGTGTCCGCGTTTTATTCACAGAGTAAATGTTAACAATTATAATTACATTTATTTATCATGCAATGTTATAAACTTATCGAAATAGTTCATTGATTTGTAAGTTTTGATAATTTTTTTTTCTGTACAAATACTTTTTTCTTCTTTTCGTTTTCTTGAAATGTAAACTGTCTCATTCTCATTCGAATGTAATATTGGAGTGTATATGACAGGAGATGTGAGGCATGTGTTTTGCACGGGAATGAAAAAATGTATGAGTCCCAAACTTCATCTATTGTTTCATCAAAGACGTATTTGCTTGCAGCATGCTTAGAAAAACAATCCTCGATAAAACGTATCAGTTTAAAAAAGGTTGTGTTAGGATGAATCAGCCTTCCGTTTGATTTAAGGTCGACCAATTTCGAAAGCGAACTGTGATTGTTGGGATCTTGTATTAACGCTGCATGACAATTTACACATTCACCATAGCACCGCAAAACTTGTTTGCATACGTAGCCTAAAAAAATGTTAATCATAGCAACATACTTAAACGATTGGTTTCATATAAACGAAGAATGTGAAATGTAGAAAATAAAACGCTTTGCACAACTATGTAAATAACATATAACACATGCTTTTCAAACTCCATGCGTACAGCAACCGCATGCAAATATGGACAGGACAGCTGAAAATTTAAAATAAGTGTAATTAAGTGTGCAAATATATTTTAAAGTATTATTAGGAACATACGATTTTACGTAACCGGATACCAAGTCATGGGCATAGTAAATGCCCAATATTATCGTACATGTAATCTTGAAGAATGTTTTATTATTTTTCACCGACTTGATCCAAAGATTCCAGCATCACCTGCTCAATGTCAATTATTAGTAGACAAGTAAAACAACACATGTGCAATTTTCATAATGGTAATCTAGAATGTTCATAATTCACATTTCTGTTTATGCATACAGTAGTGTGAAAGTTGTTTCTGAAGAATGCATTTCGTGTTGTTTTTTCTTTCAAGGACAAATTTAGGGGCGGAAAGAATAAAATCGGGAGATGTTATTTGTTAGTTTAGGATACCTGTTGCATAATAAATGATACAATCGACAACACTAGGAAGGGTGTAGTTATGGTCGTCTGCGAAAATATTTTGATCTTCGACGTATTCGCTGTTTAAAATCTCGTCCAACCTATTTCTTATTTTTTCATGGCTTTGTGTCATTTTTTATTCCGGTTTTCCGCTTATCTCTTTGAGGTCATTTACTGTAATTAGTATCTTTTGCTCAGGTTCAGATACAGTACAATTTCCGTACTTCGGCGGCTTCAAAATACTATATATCGAAAGTAATTTGTATATGTGCAGAAAAGTCGGACAAGTCGGATGGTCATTACAACCCGCCGCTTGGCGGATGGTGCCGAAAAAGTTCTGAAAGAAACATATTTATTTATTTATTTTTCATCGCCGTGTTATATAATGATAAAAACCAAATATTTTATGAATATAACTTTGATTATGTTTTTTTTATTTAACTTTCATTATGCTTAATTTTTATATGGATCCAGCGGCCCTCATATAGTCATCAGGGGTTAAACAAAGTATTAAAGTATTATTGAGCAACTTTACCTCCAAGTTGTCCTAGTTCACTTTCCCAGTTAATAGATATTTGAAATCGTAGCGCGCCTCCAAATACTGACATAAGTTCATCGTAGATTGGAGTGACAAACGAAGACCTCTTGCGGTCTCCTGAGTCAAAAACTCATGCTCGTTAATTTCCCCCATAATTTGAGCGGTCTCCCAGTCGTTCAGCCATTGTATTGAACTTCGCAGAACCTAATAATGAAAACGTCTCAAATTGTATAAAGAAGATAATAAAAACTGGAAGTAGGCAAAGGTCTTGAACAGAAAGGTCTATGAATTCAAACTGTGGACGCTACTTATCAGTTAAATGACGAAACCGAGAACTATTGGATGGTGTGATAGAACGTTTACCTGGAAATCGTAAGAATTAGAAGTAACTCTTTGATTCGGAACTTTCCGATTTAGAGCGTCGAACAAGTCGTTCATTCGCTTACAAAACTCAATAGTCACTTCACAGCCTTTTAATTCTTGACACTTTTCAGATACGTATAACTGAAGCCCATTCGCCATTGAATTGCTGAATATCTGATAAAAAATAATAAAAAAATCTATACCACAAATAATATCATAATATATCATAATATATCATAATAAATATTAAAAATTATTCGAATCGTATCATTAACACCTGTGTTCCGAACCTAACACGCATTTTAGCTGTGCTATCTAATTCTACGTGTCTCAAAGTCAGCCGAGGACATGCTCGAGCGTTTCCTAATTGGTTACTGTCCAATTTGTGTAGAGTTTTAAAATATTCCCATTTGATCGGATCATTCCTTGCGTTCATCTACAACAAAATATATATGCAAAAGGAGACGTAGTAGTGAGAATTCTATCAATGCATCAATATAAATTCATATACATACTCGTAGTATTTTCTTGTTGTATAAACGATTTCTCACATTCTTGACAAGATACGGTATGTCAGAGAACATAAACACGCGGCGATCATTATCCAAGGGATGGGTAAACCATGTCCGAGTCTCATTGATCGTGCTTTTTATACCCAGATTTTTTCTCATCTTCGTATTTGTCGCAGCTCCATCGGAAACAATTCCATGCACTATGGCCCCAGATTCCTCCAACAGAACGATTGCTTTAACTACTATTTTTGCTAGTTCGTCGCCCCTCACGGGATTTTTTGATGGAAAGACTGCCACTGGCTGCGTGTAGGTGTCTGCGAGTGGTTGAAACACTAACACAAGTCCGTGAGTCGCTTGATCCTCTATACTCGTCGCTTGAGGTCCTTCATCACCAAAATCAACTAATCCAGAATAGGTGAGGGTTTTCGAGCATACAGAAATCGATTTTCGGAGATTGATCTCATCGAGCAACAAAACTCCGTGGCGTTGCATCGGTTTTTTGGAAGCAAAACTTTTTTTGAGCAGTTGTAAGAAATTGCTATCGAAGCCACATTTTGTGTTGATATTTGTAAAATAACTTCGAATAGTTCGAGTGCACGGTAATGGGATAACGTTGTTTTTACGTAAAAATTCGTAATATCCATGCGAACGTATGTTCATTAACATACAGAGCATTATCCATTCTTCTGAATATCGGTGACCTCTCTTATAGGTTTTTGCTGAAGTTATTATTTCCATCAACGTATTTTGCATTGTTTTTGGTATATTCAAAGAAACACATTTTTTCTCCAATGTTTCGTCCTGAATATTTGCCAGCTCGTTTTGCTTAGAGATAAACTGATCTTGCAACAAGGCGATTCGAATTTTTGATCGATTTTTCATTCAATGCGTTACGCTCAATTTTTTTCTCAAGGCATTTATTTTCTTAAGATCAATTGGATTTGTGGTTCCCACGACTCTTTTTACTTGATCACGCTTTTTAAAACGTGCCTTTTTTTGCAGCAACGTGTTTTTCAATATTGTGCAACGTTTGCACCTTTTCGTTTTGGTGGTTAATTCACAATCGGTATGATGCCAAACATTGCAAGAAGTTCGATACGCGATGTCTCGTTGAATAAGATATTCTTCAACTGGACCAACTCCTTGACAAACTGGCATGCTTTCGAATTTCGACAAAACGGCATGTAGCGACGTTACATCGTTCATATTTTGCAAGATCTTAATTTCTTGAATGTCGACCGATTTTCCAAAAATCTTGTAATCAATTGTGCCGTCTACGTCGTCGATTATGACATTTTTGTCTATAATAGGACCATCTGTGTCATTATTGGTCATCAACCGTACGTGTGAGAATATCAAATACCGTTTTGTTCCTCTGTACGACTCGGTGAAACTCCACGACTTTGGTATTGTGATTAACGAATCTTTGTACGCTAAAACATAAAATATATATGTAATGATATTATTCGTATTATCAGACCCTAAATCTTATAATCCCTGCAAACGTTCGTACCAATACTATATTTGTTCATTTTTATATATAGTTAATGTAGATACAATAATAGCAACACTTACACGCAATGCTGATACTTTTCATGAGCTTTAGGTCAACCGAGTCCGATATTCTCTCACAATCAGTGAAACCATTTGTTTCTTTTTTGCTTTGCTGGCAATCAATTGCACTCAAATTCTCTGTATTGACATTCGTACTTTCAGAGAGCAAAAACTCGTCAATGTCATCGGCTGTAACAGAGTGTATAATATAATAGCTATTACGAAAATAGCATCATGGAATGGCTGCATACAGTAGGAATCAATTGCTGGATTGCTATTTGAATTCGTGGAATACAATAAAGCATGATAATATTTACTTGTCACATCAACAGACTGTGGAATAGGCAATGTGATTTCGATGGATTTTGATAGTGTACAATGCACGTCTGAGTTAAGCGATCCATTACTCGCAGCATCTACACCCAACTTTTCTTCCTGCAAATCCTCGTCCTTGGAAACTAACGTAGTCGAGGAAAACTCATAGAAAATCGTGGGCACAGCAGATTTAGATAAACGAGTTCGCAGGTACTTAGCCTGAACAAATTACATAAAATCAACTTATACAAATTGGGTATCTGATTTTTAAAGTCTAGAAATCGAGATACACTGAGACTACTATATCTAGCTCTTAATTATCTTTTTTAAATTTCTTTAAACCTCAGGATAAGATTACTAGTCACATAAGTCTTGAATTATAGTGTCAATACATAGATATATTATTAAAATTTCTTTTGACGCGACAGAATATTTTTTTTCATAACTGAGCTTACCTCGGTTACCACGTTTCCTTGTGCATCGCGCATTACGAGCTCCCTTATTATACTTGCTTTATCAAAATGTTTTTCACATATGCATTGGTTGGGTTTCAGGTCCTTTATGCCAGGGATTGCAGATATCCATTTTTTACGCAATTCGTCGCATTTTGGCACTTTAAAAACTGAACACTTCACTGCGACACTTTTGCATCCAGTCTTGCATTTCGGCACGACACAATACTTTGTCATTGTTAATTCACTACGACTTTGTGCGCTTGTTACACTGTATTTCGCTGGGTAAACCCAAGTTTGCAATGACCAAATTGCGATAACCTTCTATATAAATTATCATTAACTCCGCAATGACAGCCGCTCACGAAGTTAGCGCAGCGAGATAGCACTCTTAACTTACAGCGCTCCAAGTGGTGATAGTGTCAACTAAAAATACCTTCACTAAGCGGGTCACCCCCTCCATAGGAGTTTCCCGACCTGTATTCAAGACCGTGGTATTATCGGCGACATTGCCGTCTGTCGCATTGTCCGAGCTGGCGTCACGAGCCACGGCTTCGGCGTACGACGGTACTCGTTGACGGTCGTCGTCGTCGTCACCCTCCAAGTCGAAATGATAGCGCCGTGTTGTGACAGGCGCCACCGATAACCGAAACAGTCGAGACGGGAAACAGATGCAATCATCGTGACACACGTAACAGGTGCGATCTAGCGCGTAATTTCGCAGCAGTAAATGATGATCCGTTGGTCCGTTTGGCGCAAAAATATCAAGATAGATCTCCGACTTGAGCCTAGGTACAGTTTGTGTCGGCACGGTTAGATTCATATATTTCGCCAAATTGGTCAAATCAGTGTGATTCGAGGCCGTTAGACTGTCGTGCGGTACGGGCGTCAGCAGCACATTGGACAAACGAGCGTGCGAGCGAGCGTACTCGCGAGCGGTGTTTAGCGTCAGGCCACCGTCGATCAAACCTCCGCGAAAATGCTTCATCGCCAGGGCGGCGTGATTCGCGGCGAATATCGGCCATGTCGCGGTTGAGACGTGCCACGGATTCTTCGGTCTCAGACCGCGTGCCAGCATCGAATAATACACGGCGTTGAGCGTCGTGATCGAGATCACGCAGCGATAGACGCGTTCGTATTTGCAACGATTGGCCAGTAGTCGTCGCATTTGCAAATCGTTCATCGTTTGCACCATGCTCAACGGCGCGAACAAATTCAACGGCGCCACGAGCATCACTCGGCCGAGCAGCATAGCGTTCTCGTACGACTCGCGCAGCACGCCGTACAACGACGGTTCGTTGTTGTTGGTGAGCACTCGCGTTTGACTCGTGGGCGCTAATTGTTGCATGTGATGAGCCAACACGAGCCAGATTGTCCTGATGAAACGATCGACAGTCTGTGACATTTCGTTCCACATCACCGAGTACACGCGATCATTTTGCTCATCGGCCAGTTCGATATCCTCGTTGTCGTTGTGGTTGCGTTCGGTCCTCCGTCTATTGGACGCCGAGAGCATGGATGACGTCGCACCACTGTCGCTTCTTCGCAAGCGATCGATATTGCTGCGCAATCGGATCGGTGAAAACAATCGGCACGATTCGTGAGGATTCACGTGCGAGCTATTGAACTCTAATGCTGGGTGCATCGCGCGTTGCGGCACGTCTATGTAGTTGACAATTTCGCACATTCGCGGAAACACCAAAGTCCAGAACGAACGCCATGGAATACCGAACCACACATTGCGCAGATACATCTCATCGGTGAACAGCGGCAGAGTCTCCGATCGAGCATTCGTGACGCGATTCTGATCCATCGCCAGAGAAAGCAGCAACTCGTTCAGCCAGATTTCGTAATCGCGCAGATGATCGAGCACCAGGCGCAATCGACTCGATGCCGTGTCGTCGGTGTCGTCTCCTCGCGAATCATTTCGTTGTTCGGTGGCGAGAAATCGTCCGATCTTCGGTGCGGTGCCGCGATCGTCGTCGTTGTCGCGCGAGTTGCTCGATGACGACGTTGCTGCTCCTGCATCCAAATTCGCCATGGTGGCGGAAATTTTGCGTTTTTGCGATCTCGAACAACGCGACGAGTTCGCGATGGAATTGTTATTACCGCTGCTGGACGATTCGTTGTTGCTGTCCAATCGTTCAATTCGCGACATAATGCACCGTCTAAACCTCACGAATGCGCGATCGAGTGTCTAATGCACGTTTTCCGTCGCTCAACGTGCCCTGATATACCTTCTAGATTTTTTCTCTCAAGGCGGATTGAGATCTCAAGACGACGGTCGCTTCTTTGTCCGGTCCGAGCTGAGAGGATCGCGTGCGATAACACAAAAGGGGAAGGGGCGGTGAAAAAATCCTCTCGTGCGCTATCTCGTTCCCTAACGACTAATTGCGCACAAGCGCAACCATTGTACGTTATCGCGCAAAACCTCGTGCAGATTGCTTCGCGTCACCGCGTCAATCGCGTTTCCGCGTTCGTGACTGGACACGAGCTCGGACACGGTCAGCACTGTCAGATTCATAGCAATCGTCGTTACGTCGCGATCGCGACACCCTCGTCGCTGTACGCCGCGGTGATCTCAAGCGTGCTGTGCGACGAACCGATCACCGCAAAGGTGCGACTGAGCACTACCTCGCACGTACCTATATCGTGCAGATCGATGCCCCGAGGTCTCAACGCGACATCCCTTTGGCGGTTCGACTTTTTCGCCATTCGCGCGATCGCCGGTAGCGACTCCTCGCACAATGGCCATACGTACAATTTGTCGCGACCGAGCAGTAATATCGCCACGCCCGTTTCTACGGGTGCCGGCGCGAGCGATCGATCGTCTTGATATCGATTCAATCGCACATTCGCCAAGTAAACGCCGCAACTGCTGACGGTGCGATCCCGCTCGCACCACAAATGTTCTCGCGCGTGGGCGCGCATCGCCGCGGTACCGTATAGACGAACGATAGCGTCCAGCGACACGGTGATCGCGAATGTCCAGGCGTGCCACGAGCACTTGGACGCTACGCAGCAACAGTTGTTTATCACGCAGTGCACGATGCGCGCTGAGAACGCATCTTCCGCGAGACGAGAGTCAAACTGCGCGAAACCGGTGTGAAATTGCACGAATCTCGGAGCCTCGAACAGTCGCATGCTCGTTTACGGCGAACTGTGCTGTTCGAACGAATCGATGGTACGCTCGATCCACCAGGTGTTGAGCACTCCGAGCCGGCCGATTTCATAGAGCATCAACGTCGAGCGCCACTCGCAGCAAGAGTACTCGTTCGACGGATCGTCGGTTCGACGACGGATCGTTGACGGCTCTTTGTCGTCGGCCCACAGCGCGCCGTGGACCGACGACGCCGTGTCGTTCGCGCTTCGATCGCGAATCCAGCGCACGTGTTGTTCGAAGGGACACGGCGGCGATCGCTCGTCGTCGCAAATCGTGTCGTACAAGTAGCAAAAATCGCCCACGCCGGACGATACGCGACACGCGCTCAATTGTCGACGCAACATCGTCGAGTCGACGACCAGTCGCAACGACGATACCTCCGCCGTCAAGTGGTACAGCATGACATATTGGCTCGCATCTGCGCGAATCACCGACACCACGAACGGATCCTCAATGTCGCGATCTCGCGCCTTCTCGATCTCGACTCGACGAGACGACGACGGCTCGGTGCTGTCGATTGCGCGGTCATCGCTGCCACCGCGACGATGACACCGCGATCGATGCGATTGGTGAGTTTGATGCGCCAGATCGCTCAGCAAAAAGGACAGATCGTCACGAGTCACGAGTTAAAGTATGGTTCTTCGTTGGCGACAACGCAACGCAACGACGCCGTCACCCGACGATAATGCTATCGCGTTTCGACAATAGTCGTCGTGATACAGCGCCAGCGCGCGATCGTGCCGTCGCGCCAACAGCATCGACAATGCGTCGATCAGTGATTCGCGATCCTTGCGCGTTACGTCGCGTACGTAAAGTAAGATTCGTCGACCTTGCCATCTTGGATCGCTGACGCGTACGTGTGATCGGTCCAGGGACGACCGTAGCCACGAGATCGAATCGAATTCGCTATTACCACCGTTTGTTGTCTCTTTGGCATCGCCGTCGTTGCTGCGACGCAAACTCACCGCGGGGACGATATCGCTGTCGTTCAATACCGCTAGATCGCATGAAAGCGAGCGGCCGCAACGATCGCATCGGAGCTCTGGCAACTGCGACATCGCTTCGTTATCGCAAGGGGCAACGCACCGGCGGCCGTAATCGCCGATATCTGTTTGCGTCTTCTTTACGATAGGGAGGTTTTTGCGTGTTTTTCTGACACCGGTATTTAGATTACAATGACGTCATGACCTAGATGCGTGATCGACGATAACGGATATAAAAATGCGAATCGCCGCACGCCAGTCGAATCGAGCCGCAAGTTGGATCTCTTTCCTCCGATCTCAGCAGCTCGAGTTTCGTGCAGTCGACGTCTCGATCGATACGTGCGTGCGTAAAAAAGAGAAAGGAAAACGTAGTCACCCAATCGTCAAAATACACCATCAGCAACAACGCGACAATAATCAACTTCAGGCTGTGGCCGGTGGCTCAAGGAGCAACAATCACGACAATGGACATGGCAAGGCACCGTTTCCGGATCTCGTGACGATCGAGCACGAACGTCTTCGCACTATGGCCCAAGTGCACGACTACATGCGCAATTACGACAGACAGGCTCGCTCGTTGAACAGCATGCCGTTGCCTGACAAATGCTTGCTTCGCGTGCAGGGTGATCGTCCGTGCAAGGCTGGATTTTACGACATACGCGGACGATTGGTGCAGAGTCAAGACGTCACGTCTACACAGTGTACGTAGAGTCTCGCATGGTGGGGAGGTACTATGGATCGCTTTCTCTTTCTCTAACGGCGACGATTCGAGCGCGTGTATTTTTTTCTTTTTCGGTACCGCTCACAATTGGTCCACACTTATCGCGCAACAGCACCAGACAGACTGTCAAACGGCCTGCCCATGCCCGACACTATAAACGATTTGGCCGCTCGTTTCAACAGAAACGATTCGTCGTGTCGCTGGGACAGCAGACGGTGATGCTCGCCGATATTGTCGTGTACGCTCGCAGTTCGATAAGTGCGATCACGCGCACACCGTTACGCATGCTATTCGTGCGGTACGGTTCACAAGTAGTTGTATGAGAAATTCGGGGAACCGTCCGAACGCGCTCGGGGAACCGATCGAACGGTGATCCTTGGGCTGTAAGGATTACCGGTGGTTCCCCGAGCATGTTCGGACGGTTCCCCGAAATCGTGTTATCGAGCGCACGCGGAAAGAGCATACGGACCACCCTGTATATATATACGCCGATCTATATCGGCGGCATTTACATTTTTACTTATACTTCGTCAACCATTCGAGAT